TTGACCAATTTATCTCTTTTCAATCATATCTCTTTCCAATAAGTCATTCATTCATAAAAGTCTAAGTGCTCACCTCGTCGAGATGATCAATTTTCTAAAAAAAAAAAAAAAACTAGGTGGTCACCCCGTAGAGATGACTAAGTTTTTAAAACATCTAGGAGGTCATCCTATCAAGATGACTAATTTTTTAAAAATGTCCAAGTAATTACCTTGTTGAGATGACCAATCCTTCTCTTAAAAAGATCATTCAAAAGAGAAAAGTCATATTTTAGAGACTCCCACATCCCAAGAGGATTCATATATTTGTGGCATTTTTTTCACCCTATTAGGGTTCGTATATTGAATGGATTCTTTTTTCTAAAATTAAATCTTTTCTAAAGTCAAATCACTTCGAAAAAGTTCATATATTTGATTGATTTTCTTTTTCAAAATCAAATCACCTTCAAGAAGGTTCGTATATTTGGTTAATTTTCTTTTTAAAGTCAAGTATCTCTAAGAAGGATCATATATGTGATTGCTTCACTCCGAGAAAGTTTGTATATTCATGTATTTCTTTTCGAAATATCAAATCACTCAAATATGGTTCGTATATTAGATTCCTTTTTAAAATCAAATCATCCTAAAATGATTCATACATTTCATTCATTTCTAAAGTCAAATCACCATAAGAGATTTGTTTCTCTAAGTTTATCTTTTTTTTCCTTGTCACATCTCTTCCGTAAAAGGTCACTAAGTCAAGATGTACGAAGATTTGTCTTCTCATATCTTTGATGTATAAGCATTCTAAAGATGGGGTAGCTGTCATCATCCTATTTTTACCCCCATAAAAAAAATGAGAAAAATGAGAAAAAGAAAAAAAATGAGAGAAGTAGGCATAGATCGATATTAGGAATTGGTTAGGCCTAATTAATAATAAAAGGAAAAAAATCAGAATAGAAAAAAAAATCTTAGGTTAACTCTAGAGGCATCCTTATAAACATAAGGCAAATACACACATAAAAAAAAAAGAGAGAGAAAAGATAGCCACATTTAAAAAAAAAAGAAAAAAAAAGAGACGACGAAGAAGAAAAAGAGAGATAAAATAGTATCCATGGAGATCCGATCGTCACTTGTCACTTATACATCATCGACCTACTCGCGTCGGACTAAAAGAAGTGTCTATACAAGATGGTCCGAACCTAATAAGAATCATTCAATTCCATCATCGAGGAAGACTCACGCGTCTCTCAAAGTTTCACCATTGTTGTTGCCCATGGATCCAGCTTTAATCCCCGAATTACTAATTTAGGTAATTATGCCCCTCCAATTTCACATTTCTAATCTGATTTTCATCAAAATTTTATGATTTTGCTTGATTGCTTCTCCGTTTCAAAGGATGGTAATATCAATTCCGTGATTGAGGATGAATATTTAGATGATTATTGAATTTAAAATGTTTGGTTATGGGTGTAATTGAAAGATTGATTTAAAAACTTGAATACTCGGATTATATGTGATAGAATAAAGGATGATTTAAATTCAGAGTTATTTTGATGTGTGATACGTTTTAATGTTTAATCGACTTGGGAATAATGGATTAATGATTTTTTTTTTTAAGTTTTTAATCTTGTTTTATTTTGGTTTTATTTTTTATTTTTATTTTTCATCATTATTCTCAATAAAATGGGGTTGTTTGACATATTATAGTATCTTTATTTTTTTATATAATAAGTCCTGAAGTAATTGTCGATCAATGACGAAGCTAGTAATAGGCTAGCAATTTTGTTTAGAAAATTAAAATAAGCCAAATCTGAATTTATAGGCCAAAGACCTTGTAGAGGCCAATTAGCTATTTTATTTTTTGTTAAGTCATTTTTATGTGATCTCCGACTTTTTTTACATGTTTTTATTTCTTGCATTTGTTCCAATGATGGGCCTTTTCTTGTTATTTTATTTTATTTTGATTTTTATTGTTATTGTTTATTTTAATTATTATTTTTTATGGTGCTACTATTTGTGGTAGATTTAGCTCTTATTTTGGTCTTGGACCTAATTTTATATTTTAAAATGGCATGACAGGGTGATATGAGTTTGAGCTCCATATCTATTTTTTCTCGTTATTACGGACTTGTAATTGTATTTTATCTTCTTTTTTTTTTCAAACATAAACCCTTAAATTCTCAATTCATAACAACAATAATTAATTACTTACCCATTATCAATAAAATGTTCAATCATCAATTAAATACTTGTCATAACATTACAACAATCAATCATCCATCAATTTCATAATCCAAGGATCAATTGGATATTATTCATTCAAATACCAAATTAGAAACCCTAGGTTTCATAAGCACACAAATCTCAAAATCAACATATATAAACTCTAAATCATATGGTGAGTTGAAGTTATACTTACCTTAAGTTTGATTGATGATAAAGTCACCTTAAAAACCCCCAAAAATCACCCCTTTTTTCTAGCCTAAAAATTCAGCCAAAACAATCCCTCTCCCTTTTGAATAGTTTCCACCTCTTTTTGGCCAAGCTTGCTTCCTTTAATCAATTTCATCTTCTTTCTTAGTAAAATTTGGTGCCCTCTAGCTTTCTCTCTTGTGATCCGGTCTATCTTGCTCTCCTTTGCTTAAAGATGATGGTGGAAGTGTAAGCTCAAATGAAATGTTCCCCCTCTTATTTGAATTTTCTTGGGTCCAAAATGTCCTTAATGAGATGTATATCCTAAAGTTGTTAATTTATACTTAGACATTTTAATTTAGGTGGAACACCTAATTAGGACATTGTTTTTCTAGATTAATACCTATTTAGGTCACTAATTATATTTTAATTCTAAGTTATACATATATGAAAATAATTTAATTAAACTATATTTTCTAATCTTTCACTTGTCATTTACTTCATTATTCATACTTAACATTTAATAAATATATAATGTGCAATAAAATATGTATCATCAAAATCGCAAGCATGGCTTCAACATAATTAACAAATAAAATATACACCCAAAGTATAGAATTTAATTTTGGGCATTACAAAATGGATATCTATAATCTCCAATCCCATTTTCGCTATCCATCACGCCAAACTTAATCCTCACACCATTTCTGCTCTCCTCCTCCAAGTACTATACCTATTCAAGAAACCAAGTAGCTACCAATATGTTTCTTATGATGGGAAATCATTAGTAGTTAATCTTTCTTCTGAGTTTTTTAGCTTCGATCCCAATAACCTTTGAAGTACTCATGTTTCTCAATCCTGCAATGGCTTGCTTTTATGTTCTAAAACAAACAAGTATTCTACAAAGAGTAATAAGGCAACATATTATGTATTCAATCCTACTACAAGACAGTTTGTAGTGCTAAATCTACCATCGGGTGATGGAATTTGTTTTAATCGAATCCAATTGGTGTTCGATCCTTTGAAATCATTGGGTAGCTGGTGATTTGGTGATTCGGTTAGGAGAAGAAGTCTAGATAGCTTGTGTGTTTTGGTTGAGGGATGAAGGAAGAGGAAGGTAACAACTAGTATTCAACGAGGTAGTTGGTCTTTGATGGGCCAAATGTTTGGGGAAGATAAACAGTGGATCATTTCCTTTAATTTTTCATGTCACTACCTACATGGCATTTAAAGTCTAACTATCATGCTTCGTTATCTATCATGTCGGTGTTGTTCGAAATTTTAGTTGAAAAATCAAATTTGTGCTAATATTGTTATCGAAGACTTAGTTGGTGACCTTGCTATGCAAAGTTAAAAGAACAAACTAAAATCATTAAAAAGTATAAAGTTCATGATTTTCTTTAACATTAAACCTTTATACATCAACCTAAATTGATTTCCATGGAATTGGTGTAGCCAAGAATAATTGTCTAAAATTTCTAGTGTCATTTTCTTCAATGAGCATATTTTATTTCTGTCACTTACTTGGTTCATTGGTTTTCTTGCAAAACAACAAATGTTAAGATCTAAGTCCGAACTCTAATTTTGATAATCCATAATTCTACTTTTCGTCTCATGGAGTCCATAGAAACCAGGTGGAAAGACAATGCGGTTCTACAGAAATGTCATATATTTTCACAACGATATTCGTACTTGCCGTCATGCTGCGTTATCCAGTCAGGATTGGTGGGAGCTATTATGTATAAGAGGTGGCTGTATGCTAGAACTTTTTTTTTTTTTTGGAACAATTGCTGTATGCGTGCTAATCCAGAATTGACAAGGACTTTTAGCCACAAAGATAGATTTTAAACTTTTATAGCACATTCTTCTGTATCTTTTCCAACTTTCAAAAAAAGGTTGCCTCTAAATTATAATTCTATGCCTTGGAAAGTATTTAATATGTTTTCAGAAGTAGAATCTAGAACAACTCCAATAAAGGACATCTCCCATGACACGCAGGTTAATTTTTTGTGGACTTGTATTACTCACTTTCTAATAAAGACATGTTATTTAGTCTGACCAAGAAGAGAGCATTTCAATAAAATTGGAAATCCATTAATGTGACTGGGTATGTGGACTCATTCATGCCCAAGTTCCTAGTCGTCTGAAAGAGCTCCATTTATATTTGGTTGTAGCTTTGGCTTGGCTCATATGTCTTACTTTTCTTCCTTGTCTTTTGATCTAGTCGGCTGCCGTGGTTTTGTTCTTCAATCTATTTGTTTGGTCTTTTACTGTTCATATTCTCAGAGCCATTCGCACGCCAACAAATCTTTAAGTGGTTTGTGATCGGTGCTTGCTTCTTTTTTCATTTTCATCTTAATTTAATCTGATCTAGTCTTCATGTCAACAAAGTCATTATAGAAGAGAGGGGTGGGGGGGTGTGGGGTGGGGTGGGGGCGTATGCTTTTTGAAAACCAGAAGTGAATGGATGAATATCAGATTATTTATTCATTCAATTTGAATGATAAGAAATCTGTACAAATGAAATTGCAATTTTAACAATTGGCTGAAAGATGGTCAGTCTCATGGAATGTTGCTACTTGCAATCCAAGGCAATCCTATAGGACTCATTAAACCTGTACAGAACATTTACTCGAGGAGTCCTCAAGTTGCTGAACACTAGAAGGCTTCACAAAGTAGTTTGGTGACAACATTGCACTCTCCACTCCATTGTCAGAAACTGGGATCATGTGAATCTTTCCCAAATCTGCCCTTCTACCAAGGTCCTTGTTTCTCAAAAGAGACGCCAGAAAGAGTTTCAGAGCATCCCTCATCCAATCATACCGGCAGTGTTCAGATGCTTCATCTACAGTAAGCTGTAACAGATGAAATCAAATGTACATATAAATAACATAACATACCGAGATAGTTTCTCTTATTTCCATTATAGGTTCAGGGTAAACAAAAAAACACTAACCCATTTCCTATTGTAACTAGCCTTTCCTGGCCAGTGGTCAAGCTCTTCAGTCACCTGCAGCGCAAACATATAGCCTCGACAACCCCCTGCCAAGCTGCAGCTGTTCTGGCTGCTCTTGCTTCGGAACTCCCAAACTCCCAACGGATTTTCCTGTAATAAACAAAAAGCCAGTTTCAATTTTGATGCTTAGTTAGAATTATAACCTCCTGGATGCATCCATGTATATATATACCAGCCAGAAGCGTGAGATTTCTATCACAAATTTCTCAACTGTCTCAATGAATAGATATTAATCATTGATTTCTAACCATATGTAATCAATCTTCTGATCTGAGCTCTTAAGAGAACCTGTACTATCCTACAAATAACAAAGTTTAGAGCATAAAAAACTTACATAGGTTTTTCGAATTCGAGTTTCTAAGCTGAAATCTAGTAGCTTTATAGAAGTAATGCCTCAGACAATTAAGCATCTCAACTCTTTGACAGTAGTTACTTTGATGTGTATCTCAGATTGATACATGTCTACCAGAGTGATACAGTAAGATATTTATATGCAGCACCTGGATTATTTCATATAAAAGATAATTTAATTTAATGAATGAGGAAATTAAGGCAAGTCTTCTCCATGAAATGCATTTGTTTCGGTTTTTTAATTAACAGCAAGTTGTTCTTTTACCCATATAAGCTCGTGTGTCATATGAAACTGAATTGTTCAACACCAGCAGGTGGCGAAAACAAGGAAACATGGAGGACTTGATCTTAATGGTAATACATCCGCAATTTAGTTCTCATTGGAGAGAGATAAAAGCAACTAGATGGAAATATGTTTGAACTACCTAATCAGACAATTAAACGAATATTTTTCGTTACTGATAACAAAGCATTTGAAACAGAAGAATTGTACCGCTACCAAGTAAGGAAAAGAGACCTACACCAAGTATTCCTTTCACTCCAGCTTCCTCGATGGCCTCACGACATGCAGCTTCTTCAAGGGTCTCATCATCCTCCCATCCACCCTGTTAATCAAAAGATCATCACTGTGAATGACTTTGAAGGTTCCATGCCAATTAAAAATGTCAACATTATCTCAGTCATCAAACATAGAAAGGAAGAAAGATAAATACTTTGGGGAACACAAGATCATCACGCTTTGGCGTGGAAATCATGAGAACAAGAACCCTGTCCTCCATATTGCAGCCTTGATCCTCAACATTCTCGTCAAGTTTGTAAGGAATGCACCTATTTTTCACAGAGCAATCGGAATAGAGTAATGAGCGACAAAGAGCAGCAGAAAAAAATTGAGAATCAACATTTTCGTAAAAAGCAGACTAACAATAGAATCACGCTAATCTTAAAGCACCCCGTGTCAACTGCTACACCAAGTCAATTGTCATTATCAATGCGAACAACATAACAGCAAAGCTACTATGGGCTCCAAACTGTTCAGGTCCCAGAAAGTTCATAATTGATGGGGGAATTTGTCATTATGCTCTAGAATTTTGCTAAAGCATATGGAAGCTGTCCTAGAAAGATATATTTTTAATTAGCCCTTTAGAATAGCCATTAATTCAATTTGTTGAAACAAACAAAACCTTTTTCTCTTATGAAGAAATCATTCTTCATAATTAAAATAGCAGAATCTTTCACATCAAGTAGTTCTCCTACTAAATTACTGCTGTATATATGGGCAAGGTAGCACTTGTCAATAATATATACAACCTCGATTCACGTTGAACCATTTTCACAGCGCAATAGAATGATTTGGACAGCTATATGAGCAAGTACGAGAGACTATCTTGTCTATCCATTGTATGCAAGCCGCACAATTTGGAAGAAGAAGATGGTCACGTAACGCTTGGCCATAATAATTAACATTCCTCAGCCAAAGACTTGCATAACAACAGAGTAAACAGCGAGTCAATGCTTGGGGTCCGGGTCTATTTATATGTCCATCACCAATAATTTGAGTTAAAAAAAACATATTAGCTTAATTACACCTTAATCATAATACTAACATCGCTTCTTCTAAAATGACAAAGTCATGACAGGGAATCCCCAGAGTGGAACTTCCTGATAAACACATTAAGACATTCGTTTCTTTAAAACCCCATGTGAAAGCGGTAAATAGTCTGGATTATGCAGAACAACCTTAAATAAATAAATAAAAAGTAACATGAAAGATGAAACAGAATTTAAAGCAAATGTTGTCATACCCGGCTACAAGCCTAAATTGATCCATGTAACGTTGTCTGTGTCTTCCTGTTCTTGCTAACAAAGTAGACATGATATCCTTAACCTTCGTTTAGCCAGCAGTATCAAAGATAGAAATTCAAAGAAGCTATATAGCAGGAGAAACAAATTCAAGTACTGCATAAAATGCTTGCCTTGCCCTTTTCCTTTTAATGATGAAAGAAATACCTGTTGTAGCCACCAAGAATGAAAAAAGAAAGAACGTAGAGGTTGACACCAAGGATATATGAGAGAAGTAAGCTAAACGAAAGAGAGCGATCCAGGGTGTTTAAAAAAGGGAAAGTACGTAACGGTGCAGTCAATAATGGCAACTGAAACTAAAAGGTTCGACGTATCAAAGAAGTTGCCCAACATGGAATTCCTGGCTCTGCTGCTTCAGGGAAATAGCGGCTTCTGAATTCTCATTAGACTTAAACAACGAGAGGGATTATGCTCACGGGCTTCTTCAGAGGAAGAAATCAACTCTGCCTTCCTGGCCCCTTTTATTACTAGTAAATTGCTGGATAGTGCTGTTGCTTGGTAACTGTATGACTAGGACTTGGAAAAAGAGAACAGCCCCCTTTATCATCTGATTTTGACATTTTGTTTTTTCTTTCATTTACTCGGTCATAGAAAATAACAAGGATTTAATTTACTCTATTGAACTACCTTTGCTTTAAGGATTATTGGCCTTTATGTGCGCTGCTAGCTGAGATGACAATTGTATGCATCAAAATGAAATTGGAGATTCAAAATCCCACTTGAGAAAAACCAATGAAGCTCGATCTTAATAATTAGTAAGCAACGAAAACTGTGGATGGAGATTCTTTTGTCCAAGGAAGATGCGTTATTCGTTTCTCAAGATGTTCAATATAAATTAAAGTTAGATCCTTTTATATTCGGAGAGAATATGATCAATTATATTCCGAACTTCGTTATTTATTTCGAATTATATGATTGATGAAATAATTTTCGAAGTAGAACGGTATCCATTATTTTGAACTTGGAAGTTAAGTTTTAACAAATATATATGGAGGCACATCCAATCTCAATCCAAAAAAATTTGTTGCATGACGTTTCCTTCGAAACTTTCTGCATTTCTCACCCAGTAGTATAATAATCATCAATCTCTCTCTCTTGATTTTTCAACAATGTAGTCAAGAAATTGGAATAAATATAAGGGCTCCAAGTGCTGGAATAATGCTCTGATAGATGGAACTATGACCAAAAACATTACAGATGATGCTATAGCGGACGGCATGATAAATCACCCTCAAAGGAGGAAAAAATTAACAATGCTAATTGTTAAAATATATATATATATATATATATATATATATATATAAAACAATAAAAGAATAAAATGAATTTCGCTTCCCTTTAACAAGAACACGACAACCACCACCAACCTGAACCTCAAGAGACATAAATGACGTAAGCACATACCAAATCCAACCGTTAATTTATACATCAGCAGCTCAAATGCATATCCACATGCCACATCATTTATTATTATTATGTATAATTCCATGTTAAGTAAATTTATAACAGTGTTGGTGTATGGCATGGCTTCATCAAATAAGAAAATCATTCAATATCAAATTTCAAATTTGAATCCTCTCAAATGCAAATTGGTTTTTATATGTAGTAATATTTTAAATTTTAGTTTCAATATAATAATCTAGTTATACTACATTTGTATACTATCAAAAGTATAATATTTCATATCACTAATATAATTAATATTTTGATTAATGTTGGATTACTTCCTCGATCATCATCATCACAGACATGTTTATTCCACAATGTCCCTAAAGGAGTACGACATCAACTTCCTGTAAATTCCTTGAACATCGATTTCACATTACAATCCAAAACGTTTATAGTGGATCAACTTTTGCAAAACATGAGCTGAGATCAATAATTGGATAAAAACTATCATATTTAAAAAGGACTAACGAAGGAAAGAAGTGCAAATTTTCCAAACACGTGAAATTTCGGGGGACCCCCGTCCCTTGTCCATGTCAAATCAATCACAACTTGAAACGATAGGAGCTACACCCCAAAGGTTCAAAACGATCTAATCGAATACGCTCGTGACCATCCATTTTAACTGCTCATTTGTTTGTCAAATCGCAAATGTTAAGCATGCTAAGTGAAGGTCTAATCATTGAAGGCTTCTCCTGCTGTCATTTCATATTTAAATATTAAAAAAAAACAAAGAAGGGGGGGGGGGTGGAGGTGTCATGGAAAGTAATTTTATTGAATGCAGAGATGATAATGAGAACATGCACGATTCGATAATTTAATTTTTTATTTTATTTATAAAAAACAGTTATTCATTATTAATTAAAAAGATCACTGTATAAGCTTTTAGGCATATTATATTTCGATCTACATTAATTTATCTATTCATTTAATATTCGTTATATTTAATTTCTTAAAAATATTCATTTTTCATCCTTATAATTTTCATAAAAAGTTTTTTGGTCCTTAAATTTTTTTTCCAATTTGTTCATTTATTTATGTTTTTTTAATCCTTAAATTTTTGAAAAGAATTTTTAGTCCTTAATTTTTAATTTTATGCAATTAAATCTCCATGTATTAATAAAAATTTTTAAATAAATTAATAAGTATTGATAAGATAAAGAATTAGTATTTATACTCTAAAATCATATTAGTGGGTATGTATCTTTTTTATTCTTATCCACTTCAATAGTTATTGGATAAATAAGTATTTATTGGATCGGATAAAAAAATATCAATGTCGGTGTAAAGAAAATAACATCTCGAACATCAAAATAAAGAAAGACACCAAGTAGGCCCAATTGAGAATAACCTAGCCCAAAATACAAAGCTTGCCTATTAGATTAGATGAGACCTCTCTTCTTAGCACACGGCACATTAGAGTCGATCATTCTATTAAACGGTTTGGTTATATACAATTCGATTCGGTTTTTGGTTAACCGAATTAGAAAAAATGAAAATCGAAATCGAACCAAAATTAGTTCGATTAATTCGATTGAAACCGAATTATTTTGGTTCGGTTTCGAAATAATTCAATTTAATCAAATATTTTTGCTATAAAAAAAAAATTGGTCATGTCATGGGTGAAAAAATGCATGTAGAAGTTAGAAATGCTTTTTATCTTATTGAATTTCATGCATTTATTAGGCATTTCCATGAATATTAATGATGCTTGTAATCAACACCATGAGATACGTATGCTATATGGTAAAGAGATTAATATTATAATCATTCTCATACCTATCAAGTATTTCGGAATCATTATAAAAAAGACTTAAAACTTACCCGGATATAAAAAAATGATAGTGATATTTTACCTTCAAGAGAGAATGTCTTTGAAAATGTAACACAAATCAAGTTCCATCTAATAAGATGTGTGATAAACCAAGTAAAAACTAAACCATAGTTTTGTAAAGAACATCCCAATCCAAATCCATCTTTCCAAGACTCCTTCAATCGATAAGTAGCTCAATTTATGCACCCATATCATGCAAATGGCCATAAATATTGAAAGTACATACGAGTTTGATTATAAAATATCTTCTTGATGACTTTGTTTCAAAGAGAGGAAGATAGTCACTTCGTTTCCCATCTCTCCCTCTATTTCTTTGAGAGTGAAGAAGCTAGGTTAGGTTAAGGTTTATTGAAACTTAAGCTCCCTATTTACTTCAAGTAAAATTGGTTGAAAAAGACAATTTTAGAAAAGACAAGATCTAAACTCACCTTTAAAGGCAATCATAATCATGGACTTAATATCTTTTCCGACCATCATAACAAAAATGAGAAGCTAAGTACTCAACTTCTCAATACATTGTTGATTAATTCTATCCACCTAATAGTTACACATACAAAAGAACCACATGAATACATCACAACACCTTAGATAGAGTCAAAGAGTCTAAGATGCACTTAATCCATCATATATTTTAGGACATTGAAAATTTGAAAATGACTTGTTCAAGGACAACGAGTAGACGTTTAGGAAATATAAATAAAGCGAGGTTTTGCTTGGACAACTCCTCCCACTTGCGAGGTTATACTATATTTCAATTTAGAAATGTTACAAAAAATGAAAATTTAATTACGAGTAGTAGTGAAAGACATGCATGCCTAAGAGATTTTTTTGATAAAAAATGAAGTTCATGTAAGTTTTAATAACAACACCTTGAATCTCACCGTTTCAAGAGGTGAAGATCCTAAGTTAATGACAAAAACATTGAATTCAAAATTTGACAACACTAGTAGTTATTACAAAGCATCACAAAGTTAATGACGAGTAAGTCGTAGCTCGTAAGGATTGCAAGGAGAAAGTGATATTGACAAATGACAACACTAATGGACTTCCTTATTCCCGATTTTGATGGTGAAATTGGTAATGAAAAATTGAAAATCCCACATCGGTTCATCACTATTGTGTACTCGTCACCAACAAAGTAGAATTCTTGCCTAATGCATCCGATATTCAAAAACATTTGTTTACCCATGTTCAATGAACAACCAATACCAAATTTCGTTTACCCAAACCTATTTTATCTTAATACCTTATTGATAAGCTATGCTCAATACATTATTGTTATCAATAAAAAAGAGAGAGAAAGAGAGAGAGATTGATCTTGGAAGAGCTCGATAGTAGAGGAAGACACAAAGAGTAGTTGAGGCCGTTTGAGTAGAAGGAGGAGGGTGGTGGGTGGCGACCGATGAGTGATGATCGATGATTGATGACCATGACTCCGTGAGATTGGATGCGAGATGATAGAGAGGTGGGTTAGTGGGTTGTGACTTGTGAGGGTGAGCAAACGTTGGGTGGTGAATTTAGAGGAGAACCGACGCCTAAAGGAGGACTCGGAGCGGAGAGTAGAAAGGAAGGGAATGAAGTCGAAAGAGGTTAGGGAAGAAGAAAAAAGAGAACCGGTGAGACAATGACTGCGAGTTTGATGTTTCAGCGAACAAAAGAGAGACCGAAGTTAGCCGGTTAGGGATTTAAAATTTGATTAGGATTTTTTCACCATTGATTTTGGTTTTTGATTC